CTATTCTTCTATATGGTTGAATTAATTATTATTTTTATACTAAAATCCTTTTCTAATCTTTTTTCTAATAAGTTTTGCATAACATGTGTCCTAAACACTAAATAAAAGAAATAAAATATTTTTTCAAGAATGACCAATATCTAATAAAGATGGCTCTAAATATATATAAATTATTATCAATATAAAATCAACCTCAATAATAGTCCTTTTAAATTAAATACTTCAAAGTAGTAATCTAATCATATTTTATGATTAACTAAAATCTAATAATATGGCTCTCACTACATTATATAGCAAATTATATATATGTATATATACAATATTTTCATATAATAGCCAAACTATAATACAACAACGTATTGCATTTCCTCTTGAAAATGAAGCCTTTTATTGTTTGCCTTGTATACAACCTTCACAAATAAGTGTTATGACATTGTAGCTAAATTAATCAAGATTTAAGCTATTTACTATAAATTGAAGCTCTTTCATGCTTTTAACATTGAAATGACTAAGTTGTTGATACCAAATTTTAAACTTGTCTTGATCTTATGAAAATTTGACAAATATAATGACTTCAATTCTATTGACCTTCTTACAATTGATGAAATAGAGGTTACTATTTTTAAAGCCTTTGGTAATATTTTATCTACTTAATATCTTTATAAAATATATATTCATATCAAATTAAATTTTTATAACAATATGATATAAATTTGTTCACCAAAAGGAGGGTTTTCTTTATTTTTGGTACATGGAAGACTTTCTTCAATTTGATCTTCTTGATTTGGTCCTTTACAAAAATTTCTACTACAATGGAACGAATTTCAATGGCTTATATCATGAAATTATTTGCCAACCAAACTATTATTACTAGAATTGCTTCATAAGTATCAAATGAATATTAATATGGTATTATGTGCTTAATAGCATCCAAATCTATAATCTACTTAAACATGATAGCTATGGAGGCTCCTTCACTTGCCATGAAAGTATAGTCACCTCCACCAAAGTTATCACATCCATTGTTTGCATTTTCTCTATTTTTTTTTTAGCCTTGTAGTAATTTTTTGTAAACACACCTAATTTTTCAAATATATAGTAATTTCTCATATTTCTTTTTAAATTATCATGTTAGGAAAAATAACTCTTTTTGCCTTGTCTTGAAAATAGAGCCAAAACAATAATTTGAAGTTTCTTCTCATTTCTCTTAGTCAGTTCATTGGCAAATCTTAATATGACATAATCTAATATAAGTTCTTTGATTTTGATGGATTCCAATGTCATAATGAGATAGTTATAGGACTTGAGAAGGCTCATGAGCAATGTCAATACAATGTTATTATTATCAATTAGCTTATAAATAATTACTAGTTAGTTTGCAAGTACTTTTATCTTATTGATATGAACCATGAGATCATCTCTTTCTTGTATCTTTACTGTTAAGAACTTCTTCTTTGTCCATAGAATGTTAATAAGGTTTTAACTTTCATAGATGTTACAAAAAATCTTTCATACTTTTGTTAATCTATTGTAAGTAATTACATATGAAAATTTAGCGATACAAAGATTTATTGTAATCAACCTAAAAGCCTTCTTTTTATGATATTTATACTCCTTAGTATTGTCACTTGAAGGTTCTTCACTTTTACCAACAATATTCTAAAAGTCTAAATGAAGACAATAAAAGATCTATTTTTTTCTTCCAATTGTAGAAGTCCTTACTTCTAAGCTTTTCAATTACTCTAAAGCCATCATTGCTATTTGAAGCCATGTCTATAGAAGAGATGTATCAAAGAAAATAAAAATAAATAAATTATGAGATAGCACTCTCAAAATCAAGATAAAGATGTTGATGTTTTAGAAATTTAGAATACTTAATTTTATGAGTAAACTAGTAATCTCAATTTCAATTATAAGATTTCTTATAAGTCTTACATTCTTTTTAAATCTCTTTTACAAGCTTTGCCACTTTTTAATCACTTCTAACCTTACAAAATACTTCTATCATTATAAGAAGTTAATTTAAGAACTTTAGTACATTAAAGCACAATGTTAATATACTGATGATGTAATTCATGAAAAAAATCGCTGGGTTGGCCACCAGCAGGGTTGGTTGGCAAGGGTGGGGTCTCATCAGACGAGGTGAGCGAGGCAAGCTTTGAGAGCGAGTCCACAAACGAGAGGAGTCAACGAAGTGTTTGGAAGGACGTAAAGAAAGTTGTGAGGGAGGAGTGGGTGCAAGGGGGTATGAACCCTGGGATCATAGATGTTGACGATGATGGTGATGACGAGTACGAAAGTAGAAGAGTTGCAGACCGGAAATCCGGTGAGTCCGTCCCCGTGCGGTCCAGTCTGTTGGATGAGCTGAGGTTGCAAACGCAGCGGAAGCTGGCAAGTAAAACTGTGAACGAGGACGTGGAAAAAGTTGCGAGAAACAAAGAGATGAGCAGGGCACAAGCGGGTTGGAGAAGTGGGGAGGAGTCGAGTAACGTGACGGTGGTGAAACCACGGGGGTTCAGGGATTTGAAGGCACGGAGCAACTATGATTCGAGCTTGGCTGCAGAGTTCTTCAGTACGAAATCGTTGAAGGGTTTGGGTGCTTCGGAGGAGGTGATAGGTGCTCTATCGGTGCTTCTAATAAGGAAACCGTCTGCAATACAGGTGAGTGGAATTGGGAACCCTGAGACTTGCGGGGCGGCGAAGGTAGCAGTCAGAACATGGAATTAAGTGAAATGTGAAGCGGTCCTACTCTGGCTTTTGCATCACAATTAATGCCTGGTAAGCAATATTTTATTTTATTTATAATCGGAAATTCAGGGCAGTGCTCCAACATCCAATTGAGGCAATATCCTACGAACTAATTGCCTTGAACTATTTGGCAGAAGGTGGACCGGGAAGCCCCTTCACGCAATGATGCCTGCAAGGGGTGTGGCTGTGATGGCCGCGGCTGTTGCTTGTGCTGCCATGAGGATCCCGTCGTCCGTGACCCCATCCACCTGGAAAATGCAGAAGCTTTCGGCGCAGGGGGAGTGTTTCTGGGTACTCCAGGTTGAACGGCTTTGAAAAGAGCAACATGGCGATGAAGATGGCGGAGAAGATGGTCATCGTCATGCGCACGACGTTTCTAGACCTTGCCATGCTCTCCAACAACAGAGTGTCTTTTTCCTTGAAGTTCTGTGGATCTACAAGCAAGCAAACAACCAAACAAACAAGGCAACGAAGGAGAAAACAGTTGAACGATCAAACGAGGATATTTTACTGCGTGCTCCTAAGACACCGAACATAAGCAGTCGTCGAGGAAAGGAAAATGCTTAAGGAAAATGGAAGTGTGGAAGGTCGAAACTTAAGAGCTGCAAGAAGACAGTAAAGTAAAAGTGGAAATGGGAAAATGTAAACGGTGCTGCTGTCGCCAAAATTAAGAAGTTGGCCCTCGAATTAGGCGCCACCCCAGCAACTGCGATTTTATCAAGCCAGCCGTCAATCCTCTTTAGAATGGATGTGGAAACGCCTGGGGGCACGATGTCCGCCTCAATTCGTCACGATGTGGCATCGACACTCTTTGTGAATTCTCCACTGGAATCTACCGCAGCTGTTGAGTTTGGATTCTAGCTCGTGGCATTGGTTGCGAACTGCTCAATTCGGTCGTGTGGCCATTCCATGGCTTGATCCGGAATTCGGTTAACCCCCTTGCGAGAATACTAATCCGTCCATTGCCTACTGAAACATGAGAATATTTATCCGTCCAATGCTACAAAGTGTTGATCGTAGCCTCATGCCTCCATGGGATTGACGCACAACTGTTTCCAACTTGCTAATCAAAATCTGTTAAAGACATGGGTGAACTAGTTGCTTGGTGTGAACTGAGGACACAAATCGAAACAGTTGGACTCATCCAGGTCTAGACTGCTGCAATTATTTTTATCTTCAAATCCTAACTTTTACTTTTTGACTGTTTCGCTTTTAGTGCATGAGTTGAGCATTGACATGGGTGATTGTAGAAATGTGCACAGGTGCTTCAACAAGCTTGCATCTTGGAGGAGCCCAATTATGGAAAAATCGTGTAAAGGTACATGCTTTACCCTGAACTTATAATTTCATGATATTACAGTTGAAGCTATGCACATTTGCACCCAAAATGCGCACCGGTTTCTCAATGCTTTCATATCTCCAATATTTTGTCTCTGATGCTGTGTTTTTGTAGTGTATCCATTAATCTGGGCTTTAAGTATCGAATACCTTCAACCCCTAATTGAGCTATTAATCCTGTCAAGGACCCGTAAATCAAAGATGCAATCGCAGAACTTAGGGGACTTTGAATTTATTGAAGATGAGGATCAAATATTCAAACAATCATACGAGTGAAAAATGTGTTCATGATGACTTACAGCGATAGAAGGATTGAAGAACCCTCACATGTGAGCCATGTGGAATGTAGTTGTCTTTAAAATATTTTTAGTGTTAAAAAAGTAAAAAAAATAAAATTAGCACATACAAAAATTTAAGAGTCAAGTTTGCAAATAAATATGGAGATAACTATACTTTGGAGTCAATTTTAGTGATTCTAAAGTGAAGTTATAACAGAATCACTTAAAGTGAAGTTAAATTCTATTTAGTGTTTTTTGAAATAATAGAAACGTTGTTCACTGACACCAAATCACACCTCTGTGAAAAATAAACCAAAGAAAAGTGTAACTGATACTTTAAAAGCTTTTTAATTACAGTTCCCAAAGCTTGGCCATATCTCTTCTTGTAACATTGTTTTCAGACTAGCCCCAACAACTCGCCTGGGATAACGAAGCCATTATTTCATCTAAAAAATATTTCATTCATCCAAAGCGCACACGGCCACGTCGATTGCGTAAGGCTGACGGGGAACGCCAACACGGATTTCACTAGTGAAAGACATCACGGGTGACCCGTTCCCATTGAAGTAATCCCCGGGACCGGCCCGTCTTTTGAGTGACCGTTAGTCCCTCCGAATGCTTTCTTATGCTTTCTTGTGCTCCCCATACTTCCAGATCCGTCATAGCCGTGAAGGACATGTGGCCCCTCGGTGTCTGAATTTCTCGCTCTCAACGTGGTTTTGCTGTCTCAGTCTGTGTCCAGAGCTGCGTGATCTTGAGTCCCTGAGATTTCTGCTTTCTTAGACTACTGTTTTTGAGGTTTGGCCTTTACTACGTTCTTGGAGTTTATATTCCCTATTGTTTTCGGTGTCTCGTAGTTTGTGCTTTACAGCATGACGATGTTCTGGTGGTCTAGTCTGCGTGAGTTTTTGTTTTCTGTAACGATCGACCATGCGAAGGATCATTCCAGTTTACGAGAGCTTGAAATGCAAGAGTTCTGTAGCGAGTAGTAGTACTGAAGCCTTGGTTTCTCTGTTTCTCACCATGTCTAATTTGATTTGCTGAGTTGAAGCTTCACCCACAAGTTGATAGCTAGATGCAGCTCGAGTTCTGTGTCAGCTAATTGTAATTATTTTCTAGTGCGTATTTGACTGCAATCCGCTCGGGAAGGAAATTTACAGCTTTCTCACAGAAGCTTTTGGGATTACGCAGCAGGGGCGTAAATGCAAGTATATACCTACTCCCACTGACCTACTGAGATGCAGCAACTGCCATTTGCACTCGCAACTGACATGATTCCGAATGACTTGTGGACTTCTTCGTAAGGAGTTGCTCCTTAGTCCCTTCAATCTGGACTCCTGTTGTTGAAGAGGATGGGTAAGTCGCTCTTTCAATTCCACTTCCAATGTACTTGGAGTTGGGAGTTAGTGAATCTCCACACATTTGTCGACATTAGACTCGTCTGGAAGTCAAGTGACGGCATCATCTAGAGCGGAACTCACTTTCTCATTCAGTAGGACTATGTCTGTTATACAACAGGTTTTGCATCAGCGAAGGCCTGAACACTTCATCAATGCACGTTTAGGTGCACAGCCGCAAGGTTCTTGTGCGAATCTCCATGTGCCCTTTGTTGCAGCATTGAAGCCATGCAATCGACGTAACGCTGCAGCAGCGTGTTCCTTTAGACGCATATATCAATCAGATAGCGAATATGAACAATTTTGTATTTCTATGGCCCGTTCAGTGAGAGTTTTATAGGACATTTCACATGCTTCTCCCAGGAAAGCGTCAAGAGGATTTAAGTGACGAGAACCTATCCCAAGGGACAATGCTTGCGCGTTGTCAGGGTGAATTTCACAACTGCGTAATCTCTCATGCATTTCCTTCCCAACCAGTCGTACAAGTATGAAAACTTTTAAATTGCTTTTGTTATGTATAAACTGTGAATGAAATGGAAATCTTGTTTGACATCAGTAGCAACTGGAGACCATGCACAGGACAACGAGGAAATAATACTATTAGATTAGCAATAAAAAAACTAAACAATTTTTTTCATCTTTTTGCTATCCTAAATACAACAGTTCTTAGTTTATTAAAAGCCTTATTGAAAAACATTTCACACTAAAATATTATAGCAGTGTAAAATAATGTATTTAGGTATATACATAGATGTGCAATATATATATATATATATATACGTATATATGCGTATATATATATATATATATATTAAGATTCATAAAAACCATATTTTAATAATTTTATTTCATGATGATGTATTTTGAGTGTATATGTGTTTTTTTTTTTTTTTTTTTTCTTTTTTGTACTATGACATTTTTTGGCAATATAAAAATTAAATCATAATATAAATTCCTTAAAAACTTGTAGACATACGAACATTTAATTTAGAAGTTGTTGCAAATAAAGATGAAATGGTCACATGTATTGTTCTTCTACAGCAAAAATATTTAAACAATTCTTTCTGTAAATTAAAAAATATTTAAATTTATTTACATTTAAATAACTACTAAAGTCTTTAAAGAGCCAACAATCATTATTTCTGTTTATCTTTACAATTGATATATTTTACATAAATACCAAAAAGTATATAAATAAATATTTTATTTTTTGATTTAATTTACACTTAAAAATTAAAAATTCTGTAGATTTGAAATAGATTTTTTTTTTTTAAAAAAAAATAAAAAGAGATTGTTCTCAAATAAAATTGTTTTTATAAATTTTGTGTGAGATATATATATATATATATATATATATATATATCACAAAATACTTAAAAAATAATAATAATAATAATAATAATTAAATATTAAAAGTAAAAATATAAAATTTACTTCAAACAAAAGATTTGTTTTCATAATACTAACTTAAGTAGACCTAGAAAGGATTGAACCCTTGCAATATTTTTTCATGAAAACAACTAGCCTTTTCAAAATTCATAAACTTTTAAGATTTTGATTCAAAAAATTTATACTAAGTCAAACAAATAATGTGGTGTTTTATCCTTTTGGATGATGAAAGAATACTATGTACACTAGAGCCTTTTGTTAGATGTGTGTAAATGTTATTTTTTGTAATATCTTCATAAAAAATATAGTAAAATTTTAAATCCTAAAAATCTATAGAAAGTATATAATTTTATTGAGTTAGAATTATAATGCAATACCAAAGAACAAATTAACACTCGCTCTCATATCAATGAAACAAGACTTGATTTTTTAAGATCTAAAACCTTACCAATTTCATAACAATAAAGATCTTGATACAATGTAAGTCTAAGCATACCAGAACAAAACTAAAAGTAATTAAATAGAATAAAACATGAAAGATAAAATTGAATAAAAGAAAATAAAATCACATAGAAATAAAAATAAAAATAAAAATAGAAGAAGAAAAAGCAACCAAACTTTATTGAGGAAAAGAGTTTGAAGCCATATCTGACCGAATGCCCAAATAGCCATAAGCAATCTTATTTATACTTTGTTCAACTATCTTTGGAACTTTTTAGAATATCTTTAATAGTAGGCTCCACCAAGATAACTATTCTAAGTCTTTCTAGGAGATTCTATGGTGGAATCCATATGAACCACTATCCTAATCTCAATTCTAAAAACTTCCCAAAAACAACTCCAACTACATATGTGCAAATAATACAATTATATCTTATTCATGCCTTCTTATACTATCTTTAATATTGATAATTACTTAAGCTTGATATTATTACTAAATGAATTGAATAATCTCATATCTTAACTATCCTTGATATTAGTAGATGCTTAAATTTGATATCATTGCCAAATGAATTGGACAACTTCACATCTTAGACTACCCTTGATATGATTTGGTACTCAAGTTTGATAATATTGCCAAATAAATTTTACAACGAGACATCTTTGATTATTTTAGATATTAATAAATGCACAAGCTTGAAATTATTATTAAATGAATTAAAAAAATTTATATCTTTTCTTATTTTAGATATTAATAATTATTTAAACTTGACATTATTATCAAATAAAGTAGGCAATTTTACATCTTTGACTACCTTTATTATGAGTTGTTGCTCAAGCTTGACATTATTATCAAATAAATTAGATAACCTCACATTTTTTTACTATCTTTTATATAAGTGATTGTTCAAGCTTGACATCATTGCCAAATAAAGTCAACAACCTCACATCTTTGACTATCTTTTATATGAGTTGGTGCTTAAACTTCACATCATTGCCAAAGAAATAAAGAAACTTGACATCTTTGACTCCTTGTGATATATTATGGTCATCAAGCTTGATATCATCACCAAATGAATTAACCAACCTCACATATTTGACTAACTTTTATATTAATAATTGCTCAAGCTTGACATTATTTCCAAATAAATTAGATAAATTCACATCTTTGACTATCTTTAATATAGTTTTTTGCTACAACTTTATATCATTATCAAGTAAATTTTGCAACCTCACATCTTTGACTATTCTTATCTAATGATTTATTTTGTGTAATTTTATTAAATATATATGTATATGTATATGTATATATACATGTATGTTTATATATATATATATATATATATATATAGATAAATATTATGGTGGATTTTTATGCCATATAATTAGTAATTCTTATGATAGTTTTATTAGAGAGTAGAGATATTTTTTTAGCTTTTCTTTGATAAAAAAAGAAGAAAAAGCATTATCCTTAATAGCATGGTATATGTCCTATTTCATAGATTTTTAGAGAATTTTTTGAATTTTTTTCTATATATAACCGCAATTATATATATATATATATATAATTTTTTTTTGGTTTTTTTCCCTTAGAAAAGCCATCATGAGTAGTAAAATTCTATGAATCCAAAATATGCCTAAGATATGCTTTTTATTTTAGAAAATATAATAATAATACATTGTTATCTTTTAAAGCTTTCAAAAGGATTAATTGGCTATTATCTAAGACAAAATTCATTAATTAACAAATAAGTCAATTTTAAATTTTAAAATTTATTTTTTAATATAAAAAAATAAAGTATATTTTTTGGTTTGTTAAGAGTTAAAAAACATAATTGAAAGTAACATACATATGATCAAGATATGAAGGTCTACAAATAAGAAAATATGTGAAGTAAGATAAGTTTCACTTCTCACATTTATCATCTACAAGTAAAAATATAATATACGATGTATTTTAATTAATGCTTATAAGATTGTATCTTGATAATTTCATCATTTTAAAATTGATCTTCTTAAGATGTTTATTAAAAATTTGGTAGGTTTTAGATTAATATCAATTCCCAAAAACCATCAACTCTACCTACCATAATAAGATATATAGTTTTATTTGTTTTACTTATAAAGTTCAATAATTCTATCATCTATACAATCTTAGATACCACATTATTATTTTTTTATTTTTAATTATAATAGATCTTTGATCACTATTAATCTACAATAATCAAAACCTTTTGATAATAATCATCTATATATTATAATTTAATACTATTTATTTTAATATTTATATGTAAATCATTTAATAATATTTAGAATTCTTAATTAGAACTAAGAATAGAGAAATCTCTTATAATATTAGAAAAGACTAGTAAAATATAGAAGTAGATACAAGTTAAAATAAAAATTGAATTATATTAATCAAAGATAGAAATTTAACTTTATAAACTATGATGAAATAAGACAAAATACAAACAATAAATTGATTAGTGGTAATAAATTAGCTAATATCCAGTAGTATCAAGTTTACTTTGAGATTAATTGAAAGAAAAATAAAAAAAATCAACCATTAAAAATCAAATTTAAAAATATATTTGAATATATAAGAATAAATCCAAAAATTAAAAAAAATTAAAATTAAAATTAAAATATAAAAAGTTAATTGAAAAATTGTATTAGATAGATATCAAAAAAATTATGTGTAAAAAATATTTCAAAATTATATAAATTCTTTGAGCACTTTTATATTTGAAGCAACTAAAAATATCTTATAATAAGTTCTAAAGTAGTTTTGATCTAAAATGTGATATTGTTACAAACACATGTTATAATTAAAGCATATATAAACATATTTGGTATTTTTTTCTAAATAATTTTTTATTTTAAGTTCATAAAATTAATTTATTTAAAAATATATATTTCTAAAATTACTATAGAGATTATAAAATTTTTTTGATTTATTTTGGAAACCAAGATGTATTCATATGCTTAAAATAAGTTAATCAAGAAAAATTAGGCCAATTAAATTTTATTGATTTATAACTTAAAGATGTAATTTTCTTTAATTTAAAATAATAATCATAATAATAATATTAATAATTTTTTTTACTTATAGGTTCTATTTTATTTGTATCATTATTTTTCTTTTTTCTTTTGTAAGATTAAAATTTCTAAGATAAACATCTAATAAATATTAGTGTTTTAAAAAATATTATATAATAAAAATTAATAAATTTAAAATAAAATATATCTTATTAAATTTAAAAATGATTATTTATGCATGCTAAGTAATTATCTAAGATTGATATGTCATCTACATTGATTTTAATTTGATTAAAAAATCTTCTACTACTTAAATTTTTTATAATAAATCCAATATTTTAAGGATTTTTTTCAGATAAAATTATATTAAATTATAACTATTGAAATATTTTTTAAATAAAAAGTTCTTGAATAAAATATATTATCAAATTTCATTTGGCATACCATCTTTTTTGATATTTTATTAATTTTTTTTTTCGTTTAATAATATTTTAAGAAGTATATATGATATTAAAAAAATCTAGATAAATATTTTTTTTAGATTTATAAATTTTGTGTTTATATCTTTATTCCATTAAATATTTTTTTGCAAATAAATAAAGCAAATAAAGCAAAAAAATTAAAGATCATTAAATTTCTTTTATTATTCTATTTTTTATTTAATTTTATTTATTATTCTCTTAAGG